TGTCCAGAGCTGAGCATCAGTTCCTTTTTGTTCGCTGGAAATGGATTGCCAACAAAAACATTCCCAGTTGCTCCCACCTCCTGTGGGCCAGTGCTCGGGTGTGGGGAGTGCCTGGATGCACTCTCTTGCTTTTCTTCCTCTCTTTTCATGCTTTTTATTCCCATGAAAAAAGGCTGCATTTTGACCTCAGTCCAGCTGTAGAAAATGGCTTGAATTCAGCTGTTACAGAGTGCATGTAGAGGCTGGCCTGCTGAAGGAACCTCTGTGTCTCTGCTGGGGATGGGCTTGAGGTTCTAAGTGCCATAGCCCTTCCAGGGCAAAGGGTGGATGATAACCATTAGGGCAAGAAACTTCTCTCCAGTCAGACCAGGCTGGGAGCAGGCAGAGTCCAGGTTTAGGTGCACCGCAGTCCCCACCCCTGCTCTGGGACAGTGAAATCCTGTTTGGAAACACATTTGTGTTTGGCTATGGGGGCCTTTCACTCATGTTTCAGTTTGTTGAGCCTAATTTGTAGGTGAGAAGAAGCTTACACAGCTTTTCTGTCAGTCTGCCTCATCCCTCTTCCCCCAGGGATTTTTAACTCTAGGGATGCTTTTATCCACAAGTGACAGAGTGATGCATCTCAGGGACAGTTATCCTTTTGGTTCAGTAAAATTGGCTTCTTGGTCCCTGGCACAGCCCTTGGGAGAAGAGATCCAGCCCTCAGCCTGGACTGCTGGAGCAGTGATGCTGGTCGCAGCCCCTGGGGTATCTGCGTGCAGCATCCCTGGATCTTTCCTAAATCCGAACTAATGCCAAATTCCTGGGGAAACTCAGCTTTGCTTATGTTCAGGCTTTGGGTTAGTGGAGCTGGGAAAAGGGGATTTTGTCCCTGTTTCCTCACCTGATGGCCTGCCCTGTCCCTCTCCTTGCAGTGCAAGATGTCGGTGAATGGGCAGCGTGGCGAGTGCTGGTGCGTGGACCCCATCCACGGGAAGGTGATCCAGGGCGCACCCACCATCCGTGGGGACCCGGAGTGCCACCTCTTCTACACAGCCCACGAGCAGGAGGACCGAGGAGCACACGCCCTGCGGAGCCAGTAGACAGATGTGATCCTGCTTGCTGGAGGCGGCTCGCCGTGACCCCAGTGCTGGATTTTACATGGATTTCAGCGTGTCTCTTTAGGCTCTGGAGGAGACTGGGGTTGGGTCCTGTGTGCTACCCTCCTTCCCCTGCTGCCTGGCTCCTAGGGAGGGGAGGGGCGGTGGAGGGGGGGGTTGCAAGGAGAAGGGACTGCTTTCCTATAGTCTTTCACCCAACGTAAGCCGGAGAACCGGTCTTTTTTGCTCCTCACCCCGCGACCCTGTCCTCCCTGCTGCTTTGCGGCATCTTCCCACACCCTCCAGCACAGAGCGCCGTGTGCTCCCTGATACCTCCCAGGGGACAAACCCCCTCACTATGGGCAGGAGTGGGACAA